TTTTTTTAAGGTTTTTGTCATAGGGTATGTATACTTGCCGAAGGGAGACAGAGACAGTGAGAGGGAAAGTGAGAAATCACCCCACCCACCCCCGGCCCAGGAAGGATGACTACACTATAATCCCTTCTTCATTTTCCTCCTGGCATCTTGGGCATGCACATGCACGCACCTGTGATGATTTTCAAGCTGCCGAGTCCAGGACTCAAACTGCGGTCAGCCTTGTGGGAGTCTAGTTCCTTAACCACCATGCCACCTGCTGGCCCCTATGTAGGAGATTTTAAGTTGCATAGATAGTAAGTGATACGGCTGGGGTTTTTAATTTAGGTCCTTTGGATTCCAAAGTATATGTGTTTCTTCCCCTTCTTCCACTATGAATTAAAATCTTACATAGATTTTTAAACATTTTGAAGGCATATTGACTTCCCATTAATCAGATATACTGTTCTTTCATACAGTACACTAGTCCAGTTTACTAGTACCATTTATTATTGTTGGATTTTCTTTAAAATGTAGCACTTTGACATATTTCCAAACTTTAACTGAAATGAATTGTTGTCTATGATGTTATTTTTTAAGATTCTAAATTAGTAGTCATTTGTCAGTTTAGATCATATAGTTTGCCTTTGATTGCATTAATATTTTAGAAAAGGATCTTGGGGAAAACAGCTTTTGTCTCTTATAGAAACTTTAATAACCTTTTTTTCTTCTTTAAAAAGGTTTCCATGGGTGAACTACCAAGATGGCAATCTCAACATTTCTATTCCGGTGTTTAGTATTCATGGCAATCATGATGATCCCACAGGGGTAATTATTGTGTTCCTATAGTTTGTTGAAATTTTAGAAATGATCAGTTTAGTGTGGAAAGCATGCTTGCCCTTTTCCCCAGAGTTTCGTAGTTAAGTTGAGGCAAAAAGTCAGACTGACTTTTTATCATTCATATAAGCTTTTATACTGCTTTTAGATGTATAAAAAATCTGGAGCAAGAATTGTTATATGTTTTGTGCTTAATTTCATTAGTGCTGAGATAAATATATATTTGTAGCCAGAAATAGGAATAAACATCTAACATTTATATACTGCTTTACAGTTTACTGGTGCTTTTATATAATATTTCTTATTTTATAAAACCTCATTTATAGAATGTTCTTGTTTCATGAACATCATTAAGTATAAATTAGATTATTTTATTACCTATTTGATGTGGAAGTAAGACTTGAGAAAGGTCTGGTTAATATTATAAGTCACTTGTTTCATGAATGATTTTTATTTTTTAGTGGCCAAGACATTATTATAAATTTCAGTGAGATGTAAACTTCGCAGTTAGCATGTGGTTCCAGTTGCTATAGGTGATTTGGAATAGCAAAAATGGAGCAAATATTTTCACTACTGTAATTTTGTTTTGAGAAGCACACTATCTTAATTTGTGCTATTATAAATAGTATATAAAGTAGTCTCTTAACAGGAAATGTGATGTGCATGCAGATCACTTATTTTTATATATACATTAATATTTTAAAAAATATTTTGCATAGGCAGACGCACTCTGTGCCCTGGATATTTTAAGTTGTGCTGGATTTATAAATCACTTCGGACGTTCAATGTCTGTGGAGAAGATCGATATTAGTCCAGTTTTGCTTCAAAAAGGAAGCACAAAAATTGCTCTTTATGGTTTAGGTAAGATGGTTTTATTTTACTATTTATCTTAATAAGTAGTTGTTTAAACAACCGAGAAATTAAATTTTGGAGATAACTGTAGCCATCAGAAAAAAGGTGAGGCTCATCCTATTATTTCTTACTAGTGATTGAAAAATTGGGGCTGGCAAATGGTGTGATTGAGGGCACTGGAGTCCCACATGACCAACCACGGTTCTAGCCTTGGACCTGGCAGCTTGCGTGCGCACGCTCTCTTTCTCTCTCTCTCTTGCTCTGTCCCTTTCTAGTCAAATTAAAACAGACAGAAAAATAAACAAAGTTAGATAAAATATTTCTTAAAAAAAATGGAGAGTTTTGGTAAAAATTTTTTAGTATTGAGTAAGACTCCATAGCTATTGGGTCAGCAGGTAGCATGGAGGTTAAAGTGCTGGATCCTACATAGTTAACTGTAGCTCAAGTCACAGACCAGGTGGCTTGAAAATCATGCTGGATGCGTGTGTGTGTTCGTGCCCAAAATCCTGAGAGGAGAATGGAGGAGAAGGGATTGTGGTGTGGACATCTCCCCAGAAGCAATTTCTCACTTTCCCTCTCTCTCTCTATAGCACCAAAAAAAAAAAAAAAGAAAAGAAAAAAGAAAATCATTAGCTGTTAATACTTTTTTGTTTAATGGCAGAGGGCATATGAATGCACAAGAGAGAAAGAGGAGAGAGAAGCTATCCCCCCGGCAGTGCTTGGTCAAGCTTCAGCCCTCCTTCCTTCAGTTCTCCATTCTCTCCCAATCCTGGGTATGTGGCGGCCATGCACCCATTGTGGTTTTTCAGCTCCTGGGGCCAGTCCTGAAAACCTCAGCCATGTGGGATCTGGCCTCCTCTGTGCAGCACAGGCTCAGCACTTGTTTTTACTAGTAGCTTTAGTGAAAACTTATTTTTCCTTTAGTATCTTGTTTTGTTTTGTTTTAGACTCAGACATAGAATACTAAATGTCAGAAGTATAGAAAATTAGAAAAATTGCATTTTTGTAGCTTAGAAATCTTTGGACGATCTAAAGTCTCACTGTCTAATACAGTAACCACTAGAATCATGTAGATATTGAGCACTTGAAACGTGGCTAGTTTGAATTGTAATGTGCTGAAAGTTTGACATACACATTAGATTTTCAAGACTTAAAAAACAGTGAATATCTTCTTAATGTATTTGATTAAGTATGTTAAAGTGAATTGTGCTTGTTTCTGTTTACTTGTTTTAATGTGGCTACTAGAAAACTTACAGTCATATATTCGGCCTACATTAGTGGCTTACATTATGTATCTATTAGACAGTGTTCTTTCTACTGCTGTCATCTCTTATGATCAGAAAATTTGTTTTTGACTTTACCACCTTCAACTTACCACTTTCTATTTATTTAGTGTCAACTAGGTAAGAGCTAATTACTAGACCATATTCCATATAAATGACAGACCAAAACTGTTTTAAACAGTGCTTTCATTGTGTTGTATATTTCACATCTCAAATAATTTTAAGGGTAGAAATAATGTATTTAAAGTTCATTTATTGTGTCTTCCTTGGAAAGTTCAACTTGACCATTTTTTTTGGTTTGTTTTAGGATGATTATTCCATACTGTTTTTATTATAAAATTACCTTTCATGTTAAATCAACCTTAAAGTATCCTTTAATTAGGAAAACATTTTAATTGTAGCCTCAACATAGATTTTGTTGATTTTGAGTGATTTTAGTATAATAGAAGTCTTAGACGATCTTATTTACTTCAATTTTCTTTGTCTATGTTCTTAAAAGAATAATTATTATATAAAGGATTTTTTTAGTGACTTTCTTTAGGGAGCTTACAGTCTTTATCCAGCTTTCATGCTATCTGTAATAAGTAGACAAGCATTATGGTTATTTATTTTTAGAGATACTGAAAATAAGATCTGGGTGTTATGTTTGCAAGTCATAGAGCAGGACATGAAATGCACTGTCTTAAAAGAAAAAAAGCTATTAGTAATTGTTTTAATTACCATAGTTTTAGAAATCATATCGCCAAAGAATAGTTCCTCAGCCATGTTCAGACTAAGGACAACAGACAACAGATCCCATGATGCCCGGTCACCACCAGAAGCACACCTCTTCTGTTTTCTCCCTAACTGTCGTCTCATCTGTGCTACCTTCCTTAACTGGACTTGGTCTCTACCTCTGTAGCTCTCCCCTGCCTTTCACTGGAAACTCTAGACTTTTTATAATTAGCAAATTCCTTAACATCAATTTCTTCTCTGAACGTAGCCTTCACTTTCTGACCTGCAGTGAACCCACACTAGCCCCTAACTTCCTTGTGTCCCAGATGGTTCTTTTACCAGTGGGCTTTTGGGTAGAAAGAGGGTCAGTGTTCTGTTTGCTCCCCACCAGCCTTCCTTTCCTTCCTGCAAACACCCTGCTCCACTAGAGCTTATGCCATCTGACTGCCTTTCCCTTTCCCCGCCTGCTTACCTTCACATTTTGTCAGTGTTCTTAGTGCTTCAGCACCTAAGTAGATTCACCTTCTCCTGCCCTGGGATATGTAAGCCTTGGCTATTTTGTCTCCATTTATGTTTAGCATTCCTCCTCAGCCATCTGTTTTACTGGCCATAGTGGAGGAATTCTCTTTAGGAGCTAGGCATTTCTAATTCCTGTATTTCCACATTCTGGGTTTTTGTTTGTTTGTTTTTTTCTCTAGTCATTTATAAAGCAGTAACGTGGTCCACTCCCCATATTCCTCCCTCACTGTTGTTCTCCTTCTTAGCATCCTGGTCTCCTCCCTTTTATAATATTTACAACTTACAACTTTTTTTTAAACTTATTTTTTGTTGGTCTTCTCCACTAGAGCAAGGCAAGCCTGTGGTATAGGGGAAAATTATTTGAAAGTCATTAAATTATTAAATGGCTCAATTTAAATTTAAAAACAACAGAAAGACACTAGAATATTGTGTTTTCAATTAGCAATAATCGTGCCTCAGATAAACCTCATTGGCTATGACACTGCCACTGCGCAAAGCTAGAATATTGTGTTTTTAAATGCATCTATTTCTTTCTTATCTCTTTTAATATCTACTTCTGTGTGTGTTGTAATTTAGATGTTAGATCAAAATTACATATACTGGGGCCAGCAGGTGGCGTAGTTGTTAAAGGCAGTGAACTCCCATGTGGCCGGACCTGGTGATTTGCTTTCTCACTTTTTCTCTCTCTCTCTTGCTCTCACTCTGTCTCTCTCTGGTCAAATTAAAATAAATAAATAGATAAAATTAAAATAATAATTTTTTAAAAGTACATATACTTACAATTTATATAAAAGGTGGTAATGAAAACAATATTATCAGAAATTGTAGAAAGAATTTAAGCATCTGTGGGCCATCCTTTGGCATAGTAGTTAAGGTGGCTGTATTCCACATGACTGACTACATGGTTTAAGCCCTGGAATCAGTGACCTGAAAAACACACTAGGTGTGTGTGCGAGTACTGCCCAAAATCCCGAGGAGGAAATGAAGAACGAATTGCAGCATTAACACCATAAACATCCCCTATGGGGAGGAGGTTACTTTTTCAATTTCTCTTTCTCTGTATCTCTTTGCTTCTCTCTGATGAGTGCACGTTGCCCTTTGACAGAAATTTAAAACAAAATTTAAGCATAGGAAACTCACTATTTAATTTTACATTTTCCTAATTGTAAAGGTATATATGGTCAAAATGGAAAACTTTTTTTTGAATGCAGCTAATTGCTGTCATGCAAGTACCTAAGACAAACTCAATTATGAATGATTACAAAATTCAGATATATCTCTAAACAGTAAAATGAAATACTTTTTAGAAAAACACATGATTTAGAAGCAGAATATATTCATTTTTAATACCCAAAACAAGACAACAATTTTTAAATAATGTAATGTCTATTTCAGGATCCATTCCAGATGAAAGGCTTTATCGAATGTTTGTCAATAAAAAAGTAACAATGTTGAGACCAAAAGAAGATGAAAACTCTTGGTTTAACTTATTTGTGATTCATCAAAACAGGTAAGAGTATTCTCTGAAAAATTTTGAGCCAAGTATTGGGGTTCCCCAGATCTCTGTTTCTAGGCTCACCTATTTTCATTTTGAAAATGTTTTAAATATACCTGTAAAAAGACATTTAAATATACCTGTTTTTAATACCTGTAAAAAGACATTTGTGGCATATGGAGAGGGCATTAAGTCTTTTTTGGTTATAAGATGAATATTCCTAAACTCAGCAGAGTTAGGAACCTTACCAGAACATTCTCCTGTCCCTCTCCCTGATTCCATCTTTTCCCTATTCCCCAGGAGGAAACATTCTCGATTTTGAATTAGTCATTTTATTGCTTTTCTTTATCTACGTGTATGTCCATATTGATATTTTATTTAGTTTTGCCATAACTGGAATCATGTTGTATATTTTACAGCTGACTTAAGTTCAATACTATGTTACTAAGATTCATATTTTGTTGCTTAGAAGTATAAGCATTTTTACTGGTATACTTTCCTCCTGTTTTTCTCTCTCTCTCTTGCTCTCACTCTGTCTCTCTCTGGTCAAATTAAAATAAATAAATAGATAAAATTAAAATAATAATTTTTTAAAAGTACATATACTTACAATTTATATAAAAGGTGGTAATGAAAACAATATTATCAGAAATTGTAGAAAGAATTTAAGCATCTGTGGGCCATCCTTTGGCATAGTAGTTAAGGTGGCTGTATTCCACATGACTGACTACATGGTTTAAGCCCTGGAATCAGTGACCTGAAAAACACACTAGGTGTGTGTGCGAGTACTGCCCAAAATCCCGAGGAGGAAATGAAGAACGAATTGCAGCATTAACACCATAAACATCCCCTATGGGGAGGAGGTTACTTTTTCAATTTCTCTTTCTCTGTATCTCTTTGCTTCTCTCTGATGAGTGCACGTTGCCCTTTGACAGAAATTTAAAACAAAATTTAAGCATAGGAAACTCACTATTTAATTTTACATTTTCCTAATTGTAAAGGTATATATGGTCAAAATGGAAAACTTTTTTTTGAATGCAGCTAATTGCTGTCATGCAAGTACCTAAGACAAACTCAATTATGAATGATTACAAAATTCAGATATATCTCTAAACAGTAAAATGAAATACTTTTTAGAAAAACACATGATTTAGAAGCAGAATATATTCATTTTTAATACCCAAAACAAGACAACAATTTTTAAATAATGTAATGTCTATTTCAGGATCCATTCCAGATGAAAGGCTTTATCGAATGTTTGTCAATAAAAAAGTAACAATGTTGAGACCAAAAGAAGATGAAAACTCTTGGTTTAACTTATTTGTGATTCATCAAAACAGGTAAGAGTATTCTCTGAAAAATTTTGAGCCAAGTATTGGGGTTCCCCAGATCTCTGTTTCTAGGCTCACCTATTTTCATTTTGAAAATGTTTTAAATATACCTGTAAAAAGACATTTAAATATACCTGTTTTTAATACCTGTAAAAAGACATTTGTGGCATATGGAGAGGGCATTAAGTCTTTTTTGGTTATAAGATGAATATTCCTAAACTCAGCAGAGTTAGGAACCTTACCAGAACATTCTCCTGTCCCTCTCCCTGATTCCATCTTTTCCCTATTCCCCAGGAGGAAACATTCTCGATTTTGAATTAGTCATTTTATTGCTTTTCTTTATCTACGTGTATGTCCATATTGATATTTTATTTAGTTTTGCCATAACTGGAATCATGTTGTATATTTTACAGCTGACTTAAGTTCAATACTATGTTACTAAGATTCATATTTTGTTGCTTAGAAGTATAAGCATTTTTACTGGTATACTTTCCTCCTGTTTTTTCCAGTTTGTTGCTTTTATAAAGCTTGCTGTTGTGAACATTCTTACATATAGCTCTTGGTGTATATCAAATGCTTTTCCAGACTATCTATGTAAATATAACTATACTAGCTTGCTTTCTTCCTTTTTTCTTTCTTTCTTTCTTTTTTTTTTTTTAGTTTCCTACAGAGTCCATATACTCACTGGGGGGTGGGAGGAGAGGGGCAGAGAGAAGTGAGAAATCACCTCCTCGGGGGATGGCCATACCACAATCCCTTCTCCTCTATTCTCCTCTCAGGATTTCACACACATGCACCCAGCGTGTTTCTGAAGCTGCTAGATCTGGGACTTGAACCGTGTAGTCAGCCATGTGGGATCTAGCTGCCTTAACCACCAAGCTACTGACTGCCCCCACCCACATGTATTTTATAATATAACTATGTATATGTTTAAAAAAAGCCAATTTTAAGTTCATGCTGATTCTTTTTTTTATTTTAAAGAATTATTTTATTTAACTTTATTTATTTTAATTTGACCAGAGAGGGACAGAGTAAGAGAGAGAGAGGGAGAGAGAAAGCGAGAAGGAAAGTGAGAAAGCAAGCCACCAGGAACAGGACTTGAACCGTGGTTGGCCATGTGGGAGCCCAGCACCCTTAATGACCACACCACCTACTGGCCCCCCAACCAGCCCTATAAGGTTCATTTTTTTCTTTCCCTTTTCCTTATTTATGACTTCTTTCTCTAACAGCCTGGATTAGATATACAATGTACTTTTTTTAAAATCCTGCTTTGTATATAAAATGATGCTAACCTGTACCCCATGACAAATTTCCTAAGTAGCTTATTGTGTTTATGTAAATTGTTTTCATCTTTAGCCCTAGTTAAAACACCAATTTCTGGATGTGGGATGTTTGTTTGTTTTGTTTTTTTTTGTTTTGTTTTGTTTTGCTATAGGGCATGTGTGCTCGCCAGACAGAGACAGCGACAGGAAGCGAGAAATCACCCCCCAGGAGGGATGGCCACGCCGTAATCCCTTCTCCTCCGTTCTCCTCTCGGGATCTTGGGCACGCATGCACACGCACCTGGCCTGAGTTTTAAGCCACTGGGTCCAGGACACAAGCTGCGGTCGACTATGTGGGAGTCCAGCGACATAGCCATTACGCTAACTGCTGGTCCCAAAATACCGATTTCTAAACTTTCTTTATCAGCTGCTTTTTTCCCCACCTCCTTCACTGTGGTTATGTGATTCTTCTGTAATTTTGTTAAATTCACTTGTCACTCTGTACACTTCCCCCCCTAACATTTATTTACTTAGCTATCTATTTATTTGTCATGATTTTCAAGCCGCTTAGTTTGGGACTTGAACCGCGGTCAGCCTTGTGGGAATCCATCATCCCAACCTTGACACCACCTGCTGGCTCCCACCCTACACTCTTAGACACTATTTTGTTGTTGTTTTAATAATAGCTATTAAAAACAGAAGATTTTCTGACTGGGTGAAAATTCTCACTGGGTGAGCATTCTACATGTTATTTTATTTCCCAGTTATTTCTATATATCTACTCTTTTTTTTTCCCTTGCTCTCTCTTGCTACAAAAGAAGAATCTGAAGCTAAAGAGGATCATGGAGTGTAAAATCTTTCATCATGATCCTTTGATCAACTGTAGGTCAAAAATCAGAGTCAGCCTACTAGCATAATCTTTGCTCATTCTTCCATGAAAGAGCCAGCTCTCCATGAAGGCACAGTGGCATCCTATTATATTTGAGAGTTATTCTATTTTTCTTCAGGATTGCAATAACCTTAGACTGTAGACATGTGTTTTTTACATAAAAGCATTCCTAGATCCACAGACCTGCTGCTTTTCTGATTTCATTTCCATCTGCTCTGCATTCATTCTGCTCAGCTCCACTGATCTCCTGCTGTCTTTGAGCCCACTGCAGCACATTTGCCATCTGCTTTTCTCCAGCCTAAGACTTCCTTCCCTTGCGTAACTGATCCTTCATATCAGTCCTCCACTCCTTCGTTACTTGTTAGAGAGGCCTTTCCTGGCTATCTTAGGTAGGCAGAGTAGCATCACCTCCCATGTCACTTTTCCCTTTTCTTTTTAAAGATTATTTGAATGTATTATTTTTTTCCTGAGCAAGAGACACAGAAATACAAAGAGACAGAGACCCCAACAAAGTCTCGATGCCACAGTCTACCCCCAGCCTCAGCCAGCCTGCGATCAAGGACCCTTGCATGTCTGGCATACTCAGGGAGGTCTCCAGATATAAATGTGGCAGCTTCCCATGTGAGTCACAGTGTCGTGTTTTACCATTGAGCCACTATCCAGCCCCACTTTTTCTTTATAGTACCTGTCACTACGGGACAGGTTTTTAATACACACACACACACACACACACACACACACACTTAATATATGTTACATTATTGCTGGTTTCCTCCACTTGAGCAAGGACTTCGTTCACTATGTCTTTGGTGTTAAAAAGAAGCCTGGAATATCTGGCATATAATAGACACTCAGTAAATATTTGTTGGATGAATGAATGAGTATTAGTTTGGACTCACTGAATGCTATGTTGAAGTATCTGGATAGTTTAACTTAAATTCTCATATCTTCAATAATAACTACTTTAGGTATAAAATCAGTTTGCTCATAACATTCATATATTATTTAATTTTGAAAACTTACGTAAGATTGACTTTTTTCTATTTTTATAATCAGTGAAAGAAATAGATATTGTCAGAAAATTATTGGACACCTTTAGAGTTACCTCACTTTCATTTTGTGTATTCTTTTTATTTCTTTTTTTTTTTTTTTTGGTGTATAAATTTGTAAGTTTTTGCTGTTGATAGAGCTCATGCTTTTTTGACTTGACCAAAGGAGTCCTTTCTTGATAAAGCCTTTTGTGATCTTCATCTAAATGTAGAATTGTTCATTTTTCTTTCAAGGTTCCCACTTGTCTTTTGTAGGTTTGTAAATTCCTCGAGGATAGGAATTAGATATTATCTTTGTATTTTCAATACCTTACGGTTTCTGGTATATGGCAGAATGTAATAAGCCTGTAATGAATGGAGGAAGAACTGTATAGACTTAATGTGAAAATTTTTCATATCACTGAATTTATATATTACTTATTTTTTCAAATCTTGGTACAGGAGTAAACATGGAAGTACCAACTTCATTCCAGAACAGTTTTTGGATGACTTCATTGATCTCGTTATCTGGGGCCATGAACATGAGTGTAAAATAGCTCCCACCAAAAATGAACAACAGCTCTTTTATATATCCCAACCTGGAAGTTCGGTAGTTACCTCTCTTTCCCCAGGAGAAACTGTAAAGAAGTGAGTAATCGTTACATATTCTGAAACAATTGTCCTTTTTAAAATTCATTTATATTTATATTTAAATTTTTTTTAATAATAGTGGGCGTGCATGAGAGAGAGAGAGAGAACACCTGCAACAGTGTCTCTTCACATCACAATTCTCTTTCCCAGTCCTCTAGCTCCTCAGGATCTTGGGTGCCTGTTTGCGTCCAGCCTGCTTTCAGGCCAACCCAGGAATCTGAACTTGCAGTTGGCCATGTAGCCATCTGTCTAGTACCTTAACGGTCTATGCCATTTAGGCTGGAGCAGTTGAATTAATTGCTGAAAAATCCATACTGTAATAATATACTAATCATCGCACAGGTTCAAGGTACTGGTAGTATTGTTATTTATACATCAGGTTTATTAATGAAGATTGATCATTCTATGTAGTCTTACCATTTTCCCAGAATTTAAGCCTTTTTCAACAAGAGAACATCCAATTGGTGTTAATGACATTTTTGCTCATTAGGCAGATTCAAGACTAACATTATTATTCATTCAATTTCAGAGCTAGATGTTGTAGATGATAGTTACTAACTACACAAGATCTATTTATACTCAGATTCTCTTCAAATGATTTAATTGAGGATTTAAAAATTACCATTATTATTGTTATGAATGTAATATTATACCATTTCTCATTTCTTTTGGGAATGGTATGACCAAGAAAAGTAGTTAACAGTAGTTAAACTCAATTTTTATAATGGGTTTTACCATTTGAATCTATTCAACTTCTGATTATTATGGTGATGATAGTAGGTTTAAAGAATGTGGTAGTAGGATGTATGTTTGTTGTTGTTTTTCCCTGTATGATTCCACTGCTGATTCATTTTGTGTGTGTGTGTGTACACATACACACAGTATATATACATTTAATAATGTATTTGATCTATGCTACTATTGTAATCCTGATAGCATTTTATTGTACTTATTGTAATATCTCTCTTTACAAGACTGTATGTTTGTTCAGATAGGAGAAATGATAGTTGAATGGATTTTATTCTGAGGGAGAATGTTGATCGTTTCTTCCTATGACAATATTTAGATTAGATTGCCAAAAACATTTGTTTCTAGGGGTAAGATTTTATAAAGAAATATTTTATAGAAACTTGTTAGAATATAATCGCTTCAATGTGCACAGTTTCCTAAGGAAATTTTCTTTGTGACTAGGCTTTCACTTCTCTCCATTGCAGACATGTTGGTTTGCTGCGTATTAAAGGGAGGAAGATGAACATGCAGAGAATTCCTCTTCACACAGTGCGGCAGTTTTTCATGGAAGATGTTGTTCTGGCTAATCATCCAGACATTTTTAACCCAGATAATCCTAAAGTAACCCAAGTCATACAGAGCTTCTGTTTGGAGAAGGTATTTCTTTTAAAATCAATGAGACCTACTTTAGTTAAGAAATTATTTGTCTTCAATTTAATAATGCAGTGGAGTAAAAGGAAGACTAGGTATTGGTTATACTCTCATGAAGTCTATGAGGAAACACCAATGTTCAGTAAAAGAGGTTAGTCATGGGACTGACTGGCAGGTGGCATGGTAGTTAAGGTGCTCAACCCCACATAGCTGACCACAGTTCAAGTCCCAGACCTGGTAGCTAGTTTTCTCACTTTCCCTTTCTGTCTCTATCTCTCTCTCTCTCTTTCTGGTCAAATTTTAAAAATCATAATGAATAAATTAAAATAATTCTTTAACAAAAGAGGTTGGTTGTTCCAGAGATTTTTTTTTTCAAGTCACTGAGATGGAGGAATGCAGATAAAAAAGAAACTTTAATTATGCCCATCTCAGTTCCTTTGCTCCTTTTCAAATGCATATACATAATATTTTCTCCTTTTTTTATCCCGATTTGATAATTTGTTTATTTTATTTATGAAACTGAGCAGTGACTTCGGGGAATGGGAAGGTATTGTAGTGTTTGTAGAAAGTCTTAACCTCTCCAGCAATCCCCACTGGGCATCCATTTGACCCTGACAATTTCCTCCCAGCTTCTGCATAAGTTCCATATTCCCCTTTCTATGCAGATTGTCATCCCTATACTTTCTATAGATATTCTGAAGCCACTATTGAAGTTGGGTGAATACATTTAATAATATCTAAGTTGACAGCTTAATGACATTAATTACTGACACTCAGTTCTCACTCAGTGCCAGCTTTTTTACTTTATATTTTATTCTCATAAGAATAATGTATAATAGAATAATGTTAATGATAATTATGATCGCTAATACTGACCACTCATATCTGCTGTTAGGTTTACTGTGCACCATTGACGATACGTTGCATCTAACCTACTCAGCACTGCTATGGCTGTGTCAGTTATACGGTCCGTATTTTACATACAAGAAACTGAGTCTTGATAAAGTAATTCACCCAGGATCACAACTTTTCAAGCAGTGTGTAGTTCACATAACTAAAAAGTTTAAGAGCATGCAGGTTTTAAGATGCCCGACTCCAGAAACTCAAAATTAAATTAAGATTGTGCTTTTCTTTTCTGTGTTTGTGTCCAGCACTCTGTCATGCACTCTGGTAGTTTCTGTGTTAAGCTTCACCATAAAGAAGACATTTTCACATGGTGGCCCACAGACTTACATTATCTTCACATCTGAAAGAATGATTTTCTGTAGTAGTTCCAAATAGCACTGAGCACCCTAGCATTGAGTTTCATTAAGCTGAGATCATTACGCATCCCTAAACCCAATCTCTGAAGTCAGGGAGATGGAAAACACATTGATTGATTTTGTATTGATTGCTTCAAGGCGTGAGTCATGTGCTTTTCCCTGAACTCACTCGGTTTCTCGACCATGGCTCAGTTGACATTTTGGGCTTTATATTTCTTTGTTGTGGGATACTTTTCTGTGCATTGTAAGATGTTTAGCAGTATCCTCCCTGGCTTACATCCGCTAGGTGCAAGTAGCATTTGTTCTCTGAAGCAATGACAATGAAATTGTTTCCAGGCCTTGCCAAATGTCCCCTTGGTGGCAGAATCATCTGTAGTTAAGATGTGCTGAATCCACTCCATCTAAATCAATCGCACTTTGAATCGTGGCATGAATCCCAAGAAGAAAGTAGATGCCGGTGATGTACAAGTAATGGAGGTTCATTTAAACACCCAAGTGTGCACATAATTTTCTGTTATCTCTGTACTCTGTGTATGTGAACATTTATGCACTTAGTTATTATTTACATGCATTGAGTTGGCATGTAAATAATAGCTCTTTGAAGATGGGGCCCATTTCTTTTCTATTTTAGCACTTGATCCTAGTACCTGGCAAAAGTACCTCTTTAAATGGTTGTTGAATTTAAAGAATTGATCTAGGAAGAGCATATTCTTGTAGATCTATGGTGTCCAAGGTAGTAGTCACTAGCTCATGTGACTGTTTACATGTAATTAATTAAAACCAAATTAAAAATTTAGTTCTATACTTGTAGACACATTTCTAGTGTTTTATATGCACGTGTGACTTATGGCAACCATGTTGAATACCTCGGGGGGAAAAAAATCATCATAGAAAGTTCTGTTGGACTGCATTATTTTTCTAAGTAGTTTTTTGTCTTTTTTTTTTTTTTTTTTTTTTTTTTTTTTGAGAGGTTTTTGCTACAGGGCGCTTGTGCTCACTGGCAAGACAGAAGGCCAGAAGTCACCCCCTAGGGAGATAACCACACCGCAATCCCTTCTCCTCCATTCTCCTCTCAGGATTTTGGGCGTGCACACATACACGCAAGCCTGGCATGAGTTTCAAGCCACCAGCTTTGGGACTTGAACTGCTATTGACCACGCGGGAGTTCAGTGCCTTAACCACTATGCCACCTGTTCTAGGTAGTTTAATAATTATAAAGCCTTAGACTTGGAAATGTGGGGATAAAATAATTCTTCTGCCTTGTTCCTGGGGTTAGAACCAAGTTATAAGGAGGCAGATTTTAATTCCAATGCAAGAATGTTCTAATAGCTATAGTTATTCAACTATGAAATTGGCCATCTGAAAGTGAATTCTAATGCCACTTCCTTGTAACTTGGTTCTTTCCTCAGGAACTATATAGAATAAGAGTTTTGTCCTCAGATCTCTTTCAAGTCTAAGATTTTATACACTCATTGTGTTACAGCAGGTATTTGCAGACATTGATCTTCTTTTAGCTTATACTCTTCCAAGATAAATAATCTTAGATTCTTTATAGTTCTCTAAATATTCTGGTCACTTTCCTATAGATTATATGACTGGAAAACCTGGATTTATTTGCATTTAAGTTGGTAAGATGAGGGAAACCATCGTGAACCGTGAGTAGAAAACTGGAGCAGGAGTGATATTTTAAATTTTTATTTCAGATATTGCAAATGATCATATTTGGACCTTATATAAAAAACACTAAAGATTGGTATTAATGGGAGCATTGTAAGAAGATATAGTAAATGACCAAACTGATCATGTAGTTCAGGAAAATTCCTATGGTAGGAATGTAAGCTACAATATTTAACCAATTTAAACTAAACTTTGTACTTCTTTTTTTAATCTTTATTTTTATTTTGAGATTGAAGAAATGCTCGAAAATGCTGAACGGGAACGTCTAGGAAATGCTCGGCAGCCAGGGAAGCCTCTTATACGACTGCGAGTGAGTCCTATTTAATATAAATTAACCTTTATTAATTTTCAAAGTATAATAATAAACAATTTATATGGACTTTTTTTTTAAGTTTTAAGGGGAGTTCTTAGTAATAAGAGCACTCACCATTGGAGGGAAAAATTAAAGCTATAGGGACTTGACTTAATCACAGTTTAATTCTGATTTGATATTCTTGTTTTTCTCCTTTTTAAATTTTTTTGGAGAGGTTTTTGCTATAGGGCGCATGTGCTCACCGAAAAGACAGAGAGACAGAAAGTGAGAAATCTCCCCTCAGGGGGATGGCCAGACCACAATCCTTTCTCCTTTATTCTCTTCTTGGGATCTTGGGCACGTACATACACGAGCCCGGTGTGAGTTTAAGCCACCGGGGCCAGGACTTGAACCGTGGTTGACTACACGGGAGTCCAGCATCATGGCCATTGTGCCAACCGCTCATCCCTCATTTTTTAAACAATTTATTTTGATAGTTTAGAGATAACTGCCTTTAACTACTCTCACTACTCTCTCTCCTCTTACCCATTCCAGGCACCATGGCCTTGTTGCATTTTCTCATGCATATCTGACACACTCTTCATTCCCTCAAGTCACCTCACTGACCCTAATTAAGATTGCAACTCTGAATCAGCAGATGGCATGATGATTATGTTGCTGGACTCCCACATAGTTGACTGTGGTGTGAGTCCCAGACTTGGCAGCTTAAAACTCATGGCAGGCACATGCGTGTGCATACCCAAAATCCCAAGAGGAAAATGGAGAAGAAGGGATTGCGGCATGGTCATCACCCCTGGGGGGTGATTTCTCACTTTCTGTCCCTCTGTCTCACTGTCTCTGTGGTCACACATACCGCCTATAGCAAAAATCTCTCCAAGAAAATAAAGATCACAGGGGCCGGCAGGTGACCTGGTGGTTAAGTACACTGGACTCCCACATGGCCGACCATAAAGTCCCATATTTGGCAGCTTGCTTTCTTGCTTTCTCTCTTGCTCTCATTCTGTCCCTCCCTGGTCAAATTAAAAAGTAAATAAATAAAGTTAAATAAAAATAATTCTTTAAAAAAATATATCGCAACTCTTATCTCACCTGATTTCACTTAACCTTCTTCTGCTTTCTCTTTTTTTTTTCTGTAACACATATTCTTAACCTACCATATATAATTGACTAATTTTGGTTATTGGTTATTTTCTGTACCTATTAAACTACTTATCTTTTCCATTGTGGTATAAACTAACAGCAGACCTCTTCTTTTCTACTGTGTTTTTCCCTTCTCTTAGCATCTACCCTTTCTTATTCTCTTCCAAGCCCCTTGAAATATATGGCCTATGTTCCTCTTCTGACATTCCATTCTGCAGTACACTGTAATCAAGGCTCCAGCCTCATCATATCAAGTCAGAAAGATGATCTTTATTTGTCAAATCCAGTAGATCTTTTTTAATCTCTCTGAATCACTCTGTTATTTTCTGAGTTACCTTTTTATTTATTTATTTTTTTTTTAAAAGAGATTCTTGCTATAGGGCACATGTACTTGCCAGAGAGACAGAAAGCAAGGAATCACCCCCTAGGGGGGATGGCCACACCACAGTGCCTTCTTCATTCTCCTGTTGGGATCTGGGGCATGCATGCACACGTGCCTGGCATGTGTTTTAGGCTGCCAGGTCCAAGACTTGAACTGTGGTCGTGACTATGTGGTAGTCCGGTGATATAATGATTACACCATCTGCTGGTCTTTTCCTAGTTATCTTTATCGCTTTCTCTCTTAGTTAACCCTTTTTTCTGTCTAGGCGTAGGTTTTAACAACTGCCATTTAGGAGTCATGACTTCCAAACCTTTTCTTAGACTTCCTTTGTTAATCTGTGTATCTAGGGATCCCCTAAACCCTAGTACTAAAGTAGTATTAGCTCCATCTAGGAAATCATTCAATATGTGGAATCTCAGGCCCCACATGGGACCCAGTGCATTTTATTTTTATGTTTTTTTTTTTAAGAATTATGTATTTATTTAATTCCATTTGTTGTTATTATTGTTTAATTTGATGAGATAGAGACAGAGAGAGAGAAAGGGAAAGTGAGAAAGCAAGCTGCTAGGTCCAGGACTCGAACCACGATTGGCCATGTGGGAATCCAGCACCTTCAACCACCACTGCACCTGCTGACCCCAGTGCATTTTAGCAAAATCTCCGAGAACTTTGCGAAGCCTTGAAATGTAGAATGTACAGGGATAAAATGCAGTCTAGAGCCAGACTACTCAGGTTTGATTGTAGTCTAACACTGGTGGTATTACCTTAAACAACTGGATCTATTGCCCCTTGGTTCGTGTGTCACAGACTTATGAGATCCAAATGAATTAAATAACGTCTGGTGACAGTGAGTAGTCTGGTCCCTTTTCTTTATCCTGCCATCATTGGGTCCATATCACTTTCTGGCCTGTAGCCACAGCATCCTGCCTGGACTGTGCCTCTAGATTTCCCCCGTCCCCACCACTACCTTTTGCTCCACACTAACACCAGAGTGATCTTTGTAAAACACAATCTGGGAGCCAGCAGATGGCGTAGCAGTTACGTTGCTGGACTCTCACATGGCCAAGTGCAGTTAGAGTTCTGGACCTGGTAGCTTAAAATTCATGCCAGGCATGTGTGCATTCACGCCCAAGATCCCAAAAGGAGAGTGGGGAAGAAGAGATTGCAGCATGGCCATCCCCCCTGGGGAGTGATTTCTGACTTTCCCTCTATCTCTGTCTCTGTCTTGGTCTCTCTCTACAGTGAGCGCACATGGCCTAAGGCAAAAACTTCTTAAAAAAAAACAACCCACCATCTAGCTTGTCTGTCTTGTTGAAAATAATTTAATGACCAATAGTAATAGAAACAAGTCTAAACTTTTAGGATAGCACTCAGGAGTCTACATCATCTGGTCTAAAGCAGTGTTTTTGGCTTCTTACTCTTCCTGCCAGCACATCCTAAGCTCCAGTCATACTGAATTAACAATTACTATTCCTTGGGCCCAGTGGAATTTGTTTTCCTCAAACCTTTGCCATGCTAATCCTACTGCCTGGAACATTCGTTCTTTCTACCATCTTTATATCTCCTTCTACACCTGCCTAAATCCTCCCTCTTCAAAGAAGCCTTTCTTTTTTTTTTTTTTGGAGAGATTTTCACTGTAGGGCGCGTGCGCTCGCCAGACAGACAGAGAGAGACATAGAGACAGAAAGCGAGAAATCACCCCACAGGGGGGATGGTCATGCCGCAATCCCTTCTCCTCCATTCTCCTCTCGGGATCTTGGGCACGCACGCACACGCGCCCGGCGTGAGTTTTAAGCCACTGGGTCCGGGACACGAACCACGGTCGACTACGTGGGAGTCCAGCGACATAGCCATTACGCTAACTGCTGGTTCCCAAAGAAGCCTTTCTTGACCTCCCCTCAGAGTTTATCCTTCTTGCTTTGTGTACTCATTCTACTTTGCACAGACCTCCAGAACACCATTCGTTCGCATTCGGCTTGCAGTTGCCTATTTATACATCGGTCTGTCAACTTTTTTTTTTTTTTTTTTTTAAGATTTTTGTCAGAGGACATGTGTACTCACAGAGAGACAGAGAGAGAGAAAGTAAGAAATCATTCCCTGAGGTGATGGCCGCAATGCAATCACTTCTCCTCCATTCTCCTCTGAGGATTTTGGCCATGTGTGCACAAGCTGCTGGGTCATCTTTTCATATTGTACCCTAGTAGGTACAGATTATTTGTGTTGTCATGGGGAAATGTAATCATTTCAATATTGTGAAAGTTCTTGCTATATCTTGATTCCATTGAACAAAGTATTTTGCTTAAGCTCATAAACCTTGCAAGTGTTATTTTCTCAGTAGGGTAAGTATTATAACACCATCTGATCTTTAAGTTGTATTATATAAAAGTATTTAACATAAATACTATAGATACTGAAGGATGAATGTATTTCTTAAAAATTGGCAAGTTGTTTCCAGTTCTTCATGGGTTATTTTGTATTTCTAGGTGGACTATACTGGAGGTTTTGAACCTTTCAATATTCTTCGCTTTAGCCAGAAATTTGTGGATCGGGTAGCTAATCCAAAAGATGTTATCCATTTTTTCAGGCGTAAAGAACAAAAGGGAAAAATGGGTAAGCTCGTTATTTTTACACTTTAAAAAAAGATTGTTCTTGGGGCCAGCAGGTGACATAGTGGTTAAGGCACTGGACTCCCATGTGGCTGACTGCAGTTGGAGTCCTGGACCTGGTGGCTTGCGATTTATTGCTTTCTGTCTCTCTCTGATGAGTACATGTGCCCTATAGCAAATTAAGAAAAAATAATAATAATAAATGAAATTATTTTTTAAAAGTTTATGAAGCCTAATTGTTCCTTTTTTAGCATTTATAAAACTATCTGACTGAAGTAATGCTTATTCATAAGAAATATTGATCATGTTAAATTGTAAAGGCTCTTCTCCTTACAGCAATTGAGTCAGAATTTTTATAGAAGCATATGGCCCTTCTTTTTTTCTTTTTAAAGAATTATTTATTGGGAACCAGCAGTTAGCGTAATGGCTATGTTGCTGGACTCCCACGTAGTCGACCACGGTTCGCATCCCGGACCCGATGGCTTAGAACTCACACCTGGCGCGTGTGCATCCGTGCCCAAGATCCCGAGAGGAGAATGGAGGAGAAGGGATTGCGGCATGACCATCCCCCCTGGGGGGTGATTTCTCACTTTCTGTCTCTCTGTCTCTCTCTGTCCGGTGAGCGCACATGCCCGATAACGAAAAAAACCTCTCAAAAAAAAATTTATTTAATTTTATTTGATATTACTTATTTTTCAGTTTGACCAGAGAGGGACAGAGAGAGAGAGAGAAAAGGAAAGTGAGAAAGCAAGCCACCAGGTCCGGGGCTCAAACTGTGGTCAGCCATGTGGGAGTCCAGCGCCTTAGCCACCGTGCTACTGGCCAGCCCTCATATGACCCTTAACAAGTAACCTACTTTGGTTTTTAGTTGCTTAAATTTAATGAGCTTTTATTTAATTTCAAATTATGGTTATAAATTGGGTATGCTATGAATTCAACCTGAAATAATCAGATATTTAAATGTAACTCTCATATGAAGGAATGAAATAAAATAAATTTTAAAATCCATATGAAAGAATTATATTTGATTCTATGAATTTTAATTGGTTTCATTTTGATTGTGCATCCTTACCAGTTCCTTGAAATGGTATGGGTGTAGCAATCATAAATTAGAAAACAGAATACACCACTAGTACCTTTTTTACCTGTGTTTCATCCACAGCGAATTTTGTTCTGATGTTCCTTTTTTTTTGTTTAAACATATATTGCTCAATGGAAATAACAGCACTTTCATGTGTTTTATAGAAAGTATTTCTGTTGTGGCCACCTCTGCTACTTAACTACATGTGTAACCTTGTGCACATTATAGTGGTCAGTTGGTATCCATACGAGATTGGTTGCAGGACTCCCCCCACACATACCCAAATTCATAGGTGCTCAAGTCCCTTCTATAAAAGGGTGTGGTATTCGTATATAAGCTATGCATATCTTCTCATACTCTATTCTTTAAATCATTTCTAGCTTACTCATAATCTCTAATGTAATGTAAATGTTGTGTGTATAGTTGTTATACTATGTTGTTCCCCCTACCTTTTTTTGTTTTTTAAGTTTTGCTACTGGTGCATGTGTGCTTGCAGGAGCCGGGGAGAGAGAGAAGGAAAGTAAGAAACTACACCCTAGGGGGGAATGGCATGCCACAATTCCTTCTTCTCTGTTCTCCTCCGAGGATTTTGGGCATACATGCACATTCACCATGCATGATTTTCAAGCCATTGGGTCCAGGACTCAAACCGAGTAGTCAGCCCTGTGGGATCAAGCTAGCTTGATCTCCAAGCTACCTGCTGGCTCCCCACTTAGATTATTTTTCTTTATTGTATTGTCACTTTATTATTTTCGCCCAGATGATTTTGATCTGTCGGTCAAATCTCCAGATGTGGAGCCTGCACACATGGCGGGCTACCTGTACCTAACCTCTGTGCTGTTCCGTTTTCTGTAAAATTGGGATGATTACTGTGCCAGCCTCATAGGATTGTGGTGAGGGTCAGTGGACCATTTCTGTGTGTAAATAGTCTTAACACAGTGTCTGGCATAGTAAAATGTGGCATTCATATTTATGAAGTAATATTAACTCGCTTGCCTTGAAATTTAAAAAAAAAAAGGTTTTTGTTCTCTTATCCTCACCCCTTGGTGAGAGACCCAGTGAATTTTGTGCTCCTTTCCCTTCTAGATTTTGTATTTACTTTTCTGTCTGAAATGTTCTTTTTCCTGTTTTGCTTAGTGAATGTCATTCATTCTGGATCTCTTGATTCAAATGATACCTGCATTAGATACCTGCACATGATCTTTGGCTTTGTTTGAGAAGGATTATTTGTTTTTTTTCCTCCTTGTGTCACCACCTTGTATTGTAGTCACTCATTCTTGTGTCATCATCATTGTGTTTTTAACACTTCACACTCATTTACCTGTCAGAGAGCAAGCATAGCACCCAGTGTTTTCTTCCTCCTTTCCAGCACTGCCTCTGTTCTCTGCCTGCTATGTTTTGAATCATCCAGCCCAGGAGTGTGGTAGAGGTGCTCTCAGCTTACTGTTCTTCCCACTTGTCTCACAGAGTGTTAAAAAGATACATGCCCAAGGGTTGAGATTCAATTAAATGAACAAATTTCACTGTTTTGCCAAGGACATTTGTGAGTAAAACTACTCATTTCATTTTGAACTGTGAATATGGGTGTTGACTATTGTACTAGCAGAGTTTTGTGCCACTATCTCAACCCATCCCAAGCCACCAACAGTTTTGCCCATGATTGCTTTTGTATAATTAATGCAAATGTTGATAAGGTGAAGTGAAACAGGCAAATGATGTTTTAGTATTACATTTTTTTTTTTTTTTTTTTTACAATTTGTTTATTTCTTGAAAGGGAGAGAGTGAGAGAAAGAGAAAGACAATTACCCTCTCACACTAAGATCCTCCCCACAGCCAGCTAGGATCATGGGCACATTCACATGTACACATTATGTATGGGTCAACCCAGGAACCAAGCCCCAATCTTCCATATGGCTTCCAGCATTGCAGGGTGTTACACTACAACAGTGTAACCCCTATTGGGCCTTAGTATTTTTATGAAAATAGTTTTGGGGGCCAGCAGATGGCATATTGGTTACATCGCTGGAGTCCCACATGGCCAACCACATTTGAGTCCTAGACGCTGTGGTTTGAAACACACTAGGTGCGTGTGCGTGCATGCCCAGGATCCTGGGAGGAGAAGGGATTGCGGTGTTGCCATTTCCTCTGAGGGGTGATTTTTCACTTTCCCTCTCACCATCTCTCTCTCTAGCGAGTGCATGTGCCCTGAGGCAAAAAGGTCTACAAAAATCAAAAAGGAAGGAAATAGTTTTAACTCTATTGATCTCCTGAAAGGATCTTCGGGCCCCTCAGAGCTCTGTGGTCCGTTTGAAAACATCTATGAGAGACATATTAGTTGGAGGTGTGGAAAAGAAGTGCTGTCTGGGCATAAAGACTAAACAAGATGGCCTGTTTTTTTCCCTCAAAGTTTACCATTTTGAGCAAGGTGGCAGTTGATAAAGTTTGGCCATACCTCCTTTGTATTGAATTTGGCTACTTTAACATTATAATGGAGGTTCTATTTTTTGATGGACTTCTTTTTTCTAGGAGAAGAGATCAACTTTGGGAAGCTTATCCCAAAACCTTCTTCAGAGGGAACAACTCTAAGGGTAGAAGACCTTGTAAAACAGTATTTTCAAACTGCAGAGAAGGTAACTTTTACAGTTCACATTTTTTAGTATTAGCTATCTTATAACAGATTTTAATTTAAGATCTGTATAATTACTAGGTTAAATAAAATGAATCATCACAATGTTTCTATAAAGTAATAGGGTGACAGTTAATCACATTCATTTATGGTTACTGCACATCAAGAAAAAATCAGTGCTTATTACATGTTCGTTATTAATAGCATGATTATGATTATGATTTGCAGGGGTAGATTTTTGCTATAGGGCATGTGTGCTTTCTGGAGAGACAGAAAGAGAAAGAGAGGCAGGAAGCAAGAAATCATCCCCCATGGGGATGGCCTTGCTGTAGTCCCTTTTTCATTCTCCTCTCCAGATTTTGGGCATGCACACACATGTACCCAGTATGAATTTCAAGCCACTGGTCCAGGACTTGAACCATAGTTGACCACGTGGGAGTATAGTGTCTTAACTACTACACCACCAACTGGCCCCATTAACAACATTAGGCTGTTATTTATTTTTTTTTTTTAAAGAGGTTTTTATCTTAAGTTGCCACACAGAGACTGTGAGAGGGAAAGTGAGGGACCCCCTCCCCACCGGGGGGGAAGGTGGCCTTGCCACAATCCCTTCTCTATTCTCCGAGGAATTTGGGCATGCATGTACATGTACCCAATGTGATTTTCAAACCACTGGATCTGGGACTGGAACCAAGGTCGGTCATGTGGGAATCCAACAATGTAACCACTACGCCATCTGCTGATCCCATGGCTGTTACTACTGATGTTATCCTCTTTCTTTTTATCTCTACTATAAAAGTCTTAATTCTCTTGCATTTGGATGTAGTTTCACAGTTACTTTACAAATACAGCTATGTGATGGTGAAACCATTCCAACCTATATGCCATTCTAAAATCCTCTGATTGTATAATTAATAGTTTCCATTTGCTGCTAAAACAAATGTCCACAAACTTAGTGGTTTAAAACAACACATTTAACACAGATGCCTTTGCAGCATCTATTTTCTTACAGTCTCTAGCTCAGAAACTTGACATAGGTCTCATTGTACTGAAATCAAGGTGTGGGATGGCTGTATTCCTTTGTGGAGGCCATAAAGGAAAATCCATTTCCTTACCTTCTCCAGCTTCTGGAGGTGCCTACATTTCTAGGCCCTTGATACCCTTCTTTCATCTTCAAAGCCAACAGTGTTGTTTCTCTCTGGCCATTTTCCTGCAGTTCTCTCTCCCTCTGGCTCCTACTCTGGCGCCTTTTAGGAGCCTGTGATTACTGTGGGCCCACCTGAGAGTCCCCAGTGGTTTCCCTGTTTTACAGTCAGCTGGTTAGCAACCTTCATAGAATCTGCAGCCTTAATTTCCCTTTGCCACTTAACATGTTCTCAGGTCCCAGAGATTAAGATGCGGACCTTTATTTAGGGGCCATTATTCTGCATCCCCCTGTTTAACCTAATGTCACTGTTTAACCTAATGTCCACTAATCAGTCAGCTGCCATTTTTGGACTCTCTTTCCCAGCCACTTAGGTCCCTGCATTTTCACTTGTGTTGTACTCTCCCCTCTTCCCTTGGTTTGATTTTGCTTTTTTTGGTCCCTAATATTTATTAGTGGGTTACATACTGGCCATCATTTTGAGGGTTTTTTTTTTTCCCCTTTCAATGACTAGTTCATGTTGTTGTCCTTTTTTCCTGATAACATTATTCTGTAAATTACCTTGCTGATACATAATCATTTTATAGGAATAGATAGAATTTTTGCATTCAGTGATTTTTCTCTCTCTCTTACAGAATGTGCAGCTCTCTCTGCTTACTGAAAGAGGGATGGGAGAAGCAGTACAAGAATTTGTGGACAAGGAAGAGAAAGACGCCATTGAGGAATTAGTGAAATACCAATTGGAAAAAACACAGCGATTTCTTAAGGAACGTCATATTGATGCCCTAGAAGATAAAATCGATGAAGAGGTGAATAACTAGTTTGGGTGTCCAAGTCTGCTTAGGTGGTGTTTCCTTAAGAGTAGATCTGAGATTTTTTTTGTTTTTTTTACATGTTAAACCACTACTTAACATCTCTGATTGTTTTGTTTTCTCATCTATAAGACAGAAATAATAAAATGAGGGAACCAGCAGTTAGCGTAATGGCTATGTCGCTGGACTCCCACGTAGTCGACCGTGGTTCGTGTCCCGGGCCTGGTGGCTTAGAACTCACGTTGGGCACGTGTGCGTGCATGCCCAAGATCCCGAGAGGAGAATGGAGGAGAAGGGATTGCAGCGTGACCATTCCCTCTGGGGGGGTGATTTCTCGCTTTCTGTCTCTCTGTCTCTCCTCGCTTTCTGTCTTTCTGTCTCTGTCTGTCTGGTGTGCACACGCGCTCTATAGCAAAAAAAATCTCTCCAAAAAAAAAGAAATAATAAAATGAGAATTAAATTAGGAAATGTCTAGAAGGTGCCTAGAATAGAGTCTTTTCATATAGTTGGTCCCAAATAAGCATTGATTTTGTTCCTCATAGATAATACCTCTTCTTGAAGATTCTGAAAATGCTTTAAAATTAATTTTACAGAATAAAAATTCCTGCTTATTTCAAATTTTAAATAAGTTTTTATTGGGAATTTCATCTGGAAAATGCATTCTCTTAAATAGTAAAAGCAGTAGAAGAATCACAGTTGAAAATCCGTTTTTTGTTTTTGTTTTTGCCATAGGGCACATGCTCTTGCTGGAGAGAGACAGAGAAGGGTGTGAAATCAACACCCCCCCACCACCATCCCCCAGGGGATGTCCATGCTGCAATCTCTCCTTCTTCACTCCCCTTCTGGGATTTTGGGCATGCACACAGACACACTGGGCATGATTGTACAAGCTGCCAGATCCAGGACTCAAACTCTTGTGGGCCATGTCGGAGTTCAGTGCCTTAACCAGTATGCCACCTGCTGGCGCTGATGAAAAGCTCTTTAGGTTTGACTGCATAAAAATTTTAAATGTTTGCATGTCAAATTGTCAAGTTACAAAATGAAAGGTATTGACATGGAGAAAATATTTGTATGTGGGTAGGAAAAAGGTCAGTATTCTTAAAGTAATGTTAAGGAACTTATGCAAATTTTAAAATTAGACATTTCAATAGAATAATGAACAAAAGACATGAATAGGTGGTTCGTGAAATATAAATGGCTAATAAACAAATGAAAATGGTGTTTAGCTTAGAATAATAAAAAAACTCAAATGTGTTTTTTATTTGTCAAACTGGCAGCAATTTGAGGCAAGTGATGTTTAATACACTGCTGTTAGGAGTATTACATTAGATTAGAGCAGTTTGACTGAACAGCATTTTGGCAGTGTGTGTAAGAGACTTAGGAAGATTTAGCCTTTAACTCGGCCTTGGAAATTTTTTCCAAGAAAATAGTGAGTTAGAGATTTGTGTATGGAGTAATTTATCTTAGTGTTAGCCACAGTGGGGCATAATTGGAAATCATTTGGAACAGTCAGTGTTGGCACATACACAATATGTAATTCTGTGCAGCTATTAAAAATTACATTTTTAGAGACTAGCAGTTGGCATAATGGCTGTGTCACTGGACTCCCATGTAGTTGACCGTGGTTCAAGTCCCGGATCTGGTGGCTTAAACTCAGACCGAGCACGTGTGCATGCGTGCCCAAGATCCCCAGAGGAGAAAAGAGGAGAAGGGATTGTGGCATGGCCGTCCTCCTGAGGGTTGATTTCTCGCTTCTGTCTCTGTCTTTCTGGTGAGTGTACACACTCTATATCAAAAACCTCTCCAAAAAAAAAAAAAGAAATTAAATTTTTAGAGAACATGGAAAAATATCTCCAATATAGTGTGAAGCAGGAAAAGATTCCCAAAGATACAAAACTGTGTACAACATAATCCTTACCTTTTAATTTTATATACAAACATATGTACGCATGTAAATAAAGAAAATAGTTCAAATATGTTATCAACAATTATGTTCAGGTAATTGGATTATAGGGGAATGATTTTTTTTGTATTTTCCAAATTACTCCTAAGGAGAAGAACAAAACAACCTTTTATTTATTTTTCAAAATTTATTTAGTTTTTAGAGGTTTTTTCTGTAGGGCACGTGTGCTGGCCAGAGAGACAGAAAGTAAGAAATCACCCCCCTCCTCTGGGAAAGGCCATGCCTCAATTCTTTCTCCTCCATCCTCCTCTCAGGATTTTGGGCATGTATGTACATGCACCCAGCATGAGTTTTATGCTACCAGGTCCAGGACTCGAATTGTGGTTGACTACGTGGGAGTCCGGCAGTTTAACCATTACACTGTCTGCTAGTCCCAAAGGAACATTATTTTAAAAACTCATTCCCTGTGGCTTTCATTTTAGTGCTTTTCAGTTAACATGGTTCTCTTGAAAACTTACGATGCCAATGTGTAAACTGATATTATTCAGTGCCAAGTACTTCCAGAGATACAGCAGTCTAAAGTCATTCACTCTATGACTTTGGATGTGTTGAGATTGTTAATTTGTAGCATGGGTAGAATTCTTAGGTAGTGTCAAAAAGGAAGTATGACCATGTCCACCTGGAGTGACGTCATGACTCCTGAGGCACTGTGTGTGTCTGTGTGTGTGTTTAAGTTATGTGCATAGCATGTTGGTGAGGAATATGGACTCTGCCCAAACCACCTCTGTTCAAAATCAGAAGCTTTATTTGCTGTGTACACATCAGCAATTCATCTAACCTCTCCGCACCTCAGTTTCCTCATCTGTTATAATGAAGATAATAATAGAATCTCCTTCAAGGTTGTGGTGAGGATAAAAGAATTAGTAATACATAGAAAGTCCTCAGAGTACTGCCTGACTCATCGTGCCTGCTCAGTGTTTTCACTCTGGCTCTCATTTCTCTTCTGGGAATGACGTAGCACTTGTGGTGTGCTGCATACCACCTACAGCACTGTTATACACTATGTCATTTTCCTATAAAATGATCATTCCTGAATTCTCCTACCACCCCCCTTCTGAATCATAACAGTGCTCTCAGTGTATGTGTGCTGAACAGATTATTGAATAAGTGAGCTTATCTGTAACTACATAACTGTAAGAGCTTTGTGAGAAGAACTATAAAAAAATCCCTCGTGCTCCATACCAGGACCATGGTCAGCAAACAATGAGTAGTGAGTTGACTATTGATAGGAGTGGGTCTTTAGGGGCCTACTCACTTCAGATACCATTCAGAGAGCCTTTAGGATTTCTTGTAGCAGGGGCACAAGAGTGATTTGAACAATGTGATAAATATCTCAAGCCTTGTAAATATAAGAGAGGTTTTTGTTTTTAATTGTGCTACTGAAGCATAATGCCCATAGGATACTAGAATTTTTTTCCGTTGCAGTCTGCTAGATCATTTTTCAGTGACTTGGAACATTTTGGCAGCAGGTAATAAAATTTTGCCTAAGGTCAGTGTTTGTTTTGTTTTGTTTTCAGGCTACATTTCTTAAATTTTTATGTAAGTTACTGGAAGAATATGCTTTCTTTGAACTTTTGTGAGACAAAGTATAAATTTCCAAGTTTTATGTAATAATAGAAAGCATTTCTTAATAAATTATAGCATGTTCTGTGTTTGCTATCTGGAGTAAGCAACATGTTTGTAATTTCCTCTGCTATGATCCAGGTACGTCGTTTTAGAGAAAGCAGACAAAAAAATACTAATGAAGAAGACGACGAAGTTCGAGAGGTAAATTTTCCATTGTAAATGACTATGCTTACATGTCAGTTTGTTAAACTAGAATAACTGGTAGGTCTATTTAGAAGAGTCAGTCCATAAGTATGGTGGGTAGGAGTGAGCAAGGGTTTTCTGATAATAACCGTCTTTGATTTATTTCAGTTCAACCTAATATTCTGCTTGTTGACTTTTCTTTTCTTTTGCTCTTGTCTAAATCTTATTTAATTGTGTGTGTGTGGGGGAGTATATACAACAAGAGCACTTATTATTCAAAATGCTATTTAATTGCTGTCAGAGCATCTTATCAGTATAATGTGCAAATATTACCCTACTGAGCTGATATTTTTCTGAGCAAAAAAGAAGGAACGTAGTGATTGGCCCATCATATTGGCCCATCATATTACCATGGGTAAATAGTTTCTATGGTCTGTTTTAAAATGTTAAAAGTAGCTCAAGTATCATCATCACCACTTTCTAAGTCTTTTTACAGATTAGGAACTGTAAGTTAGCAACTGTCTACTTAGCTATTAGGCCTCTGGTACTTGGTTATTTCATGATTGAAATATATTTTATTTTCTAAATCTCCTTAGTGTTTTATGACTGCTATCTAATATTTAAAATATATTTTATAAATTCTTCTTCTAATTGGTTTTGCCTCAGTTGCTTTCATTCAGCAGACTTTTTTGCATAGTACCTGTTATGGGTTAGACATTTATATTAGGAATACAAATATGAAAGGTGTGGTTTATGTCCACAAGTTTTCTCAATTTAGTGAATAAGAGACATATATAAAGAATTTATAGAATGCTTTTGGCCTGTTTACACTAAGTTCCCATTTTACAAGTGACTCAAGGTCACATGGTAGGGCTATAATTTGCACATGTTTCTGCCTCCCAGGTATACACTTTTCCACCATCTCATGTCTTACCAAAATTTTAGATTAATATTAATCAATGCTGGCCAATGAATGGATAGAAACTAGAAAGTTCTAGAACTGTCGTATAGCACATCAAAGTCACTGTTCAGAGTGAGCAGGTGGCATAATGGTTATGGTTCTGGATTCCCACATGGTCGACTGTACTTCAAATCCTGGATCTGGTGACTTGAAGCTCCTGCCTGGCACATGTTTGTGCGTGCCCAAAATCTTGAGAGGAGAGTGGAGGAGAAGGAATTGCAGCATGGTAATCCCCCTGGGGGTGATTTCTTTCATTCTGTCTCTCTGCCAAGCACACGTGTCCTATAGCAAAAATCTGTGTTTAAAAAAAAGGGAAAAGAAATCACTGTTGACAATATGCACAGATGCAACTGCTATACTTTTTATAGGTTGTTTTTTAGAAGCTAAGGGAAAGAAGCTATGGGTTAAAGATTCCATACCACATTTATTATATTTGTTTATCTTAGAAGGTACTTTTTTTCAAGTATTTTTATTTAATTTTATTTATTCATTCATTTGTTTTTAATTTGACCAGAGATGGACAGAGAGAGAGAGAGAGAGAGAAAGAGAGAGAGAAAAACCAAGCCACCAGGTCCGGGACTCAAACCATGGTTGACCATGTGGGAGTGTCCAGCACCTTAACCACCAAGCTACCTGCTGGTCCCCAGAGGGTACTTTAAAATAAAAATAGATAGTTTGCCAAATGGCAAGAATGAATTCCCAGAAAGAAATAATTCCTAATTCTGAATCATCTGGCTTAAACTTGATTAACCCTTTCACTTTAAAAGATTACAGAAATATTTCTTCATAATGAGTCCTTTATACTTGAAGAGCCTTTTTCATTAATCTTTTAAAATAATAAGAGTTAACATTTTATATAAGGAAAGAAATAATTTGACAGGTTTTAAATAGGAGTTTTCCAGAAGAATGTATTTTATGAGTTCTGGGTTTCATTTCTATCATAAGATTTTTGCCGGTGATCAGGATTCTTTAGCTAATTTTCAGCCTGCTGTAAGATGTTATGAATTCTTCATTTTCAGCATACCAGTTAGAACTTGAGTAATAGAGTTTGGCAATTTACCAAGCTGTAATTCATAGCTTTACAGAATCATTTAGTTCAGAATTTGAATCCCAGTACCATGCTTTAAAGCGGTTCACGTGGGAGGGTGTTGCTGTGCAGTGGCTGAAGCTGCATGTGGTTCTCCCTAGCTAGGAGGCTGGGGTAGGAGGAAACATGTCAGACCTTGTCAAAAACCTTTCTCCCCTCCTATAGACATGTATATTTGTATTCTTGCTCTCAGTGAGAGTATGTAAGTAAACAAACAAAAGTATTAGCCTTTTCATTTAGAGAAAAAAAAATATGCTTTAAAGTCTCTTGTTTACATGGAAAAACTCTCAAGTCTTTTCTTTAATTGTAAATTCTCATTTAAACAAAGAGCCAAACAGTAACTATTAGGCTTTGCAGGCTATGTATAGTCTCTATCATATGTACTTTTAAAAAATAGCTCTTTAAAATATAAAAAACTATTCTTAGTCTAATCCATAGTTCTTGGTATACCTGGCATCTGATTTGTTATGTTCTGTCTGAATTTGAGATAGTTTCTTTCTGAACTTAATGCCATGCAGAAATTATCAAACAGAGTGAAATGACAACCAACAGAATGGAAGAAGATATTTATGAATCAAGTGTCTGTTAAGAGATTAATATCTGGGGGACCAGCAGTTAGTGTAATGGCTATGTCGCTGGACTCCCACGTAGTCAACCACGGTTTGCATCCTGAACCTGGTGGCTTAAGCTCACGCTGGGTGCATGTGCATGTGTGCCCAAGATCCCGAGAGGAGAATGGAGGAGAAGGGATTGTGGCATGGCCATCCCCCCTGGGGGGCGATTTCTCGCTTTCTGTCTCTCTGTCTCTCTCTCTCTGTCTGGCGAACACACGCGCCCTATAGCAAAAACCTATTTTTAAAAAAAGGGATTAATATCCAGAATATATGTTTAATATTTTCTAGAATTGGACAATAACAACAATAACAAAAACAATGTTTTAAATGGGCAAAGGACTTGAATAATAGACATTTCTCCAGGAAATATTTATAAATTAGTAAAGCTGAGCTGCTTTTTTCTGTTGTTAATCAGAAAATCTGTATTTATTTTAGAGTTAGAATATCAAGTCTTAAACTTTTCTTAATGACTTATTATCAAAATAAAAATTTATTGCATTGGGACCAGCAGATGGTGGATCGGTTATGTCACTATACTCCCATGTAGTCAACTGCAGTTCAAGCCCCAGACTCCACGGCTTAAAACTCATGCCAGAGGGACCAGCAGTTAGCATAATGGTTGTGTCGCTGGACTCCCATGTATCCAACTGCAGTTCGAGTCCCAGACCTGACGGCTTAAACTCACACTGGGCATGTATGTGTGCATGCCCAAGATCCCAAGAGGAGAATGGAGGAGAAGGGATTGTGGTGTGGCTATCCCCCCTGGGGGGTGATTTCTCGCTTTCTGTCTCTCTGTCTCCCTCTGTCCTTCTGGCAAGCGCATGTGTCCTATTGTAAAAACCTCTCAAAAAAATACCAAAAAAAACAAAAACCTCAAAACTCATGCTAGGTGTGTATGTGTGTGCACCCAAAATCCCAAAAGTAGAATAAAGGGAAAGGGATGGCAGCGTGGCCATTCCGCTAGGGGGTGATTTCTCACTTTTTGTCTCTCTGACGAGCACACATACCCTATAGCAAAAATCTCTTAAGAAAAAAATTTGTGGCATATTCTTGGTCCTAAGGTTTTTATTCTTTCTTAGACCTTTAATTGATATGTTGTACTTAATAGTTTATATCACATATTTATAAGCGATTATTTCTTCTGTTTTTCTGGTTACAGAAGCAATATTTTAGAAGAAGTATCTTGTAGAAACTTGGCAATATTCAAGAATAAGAGAAGGGGCCAGCAGATAGTGTACCAGTTATGTCACTGGACTCCCAAGTGGTTGACTGTGGTTTGAGTCCTGGACCTGGTGGCTTGAAACTCACGTGTGTGTGGGCACATGTACTTGCATGTCCAAGATTCTGGAAGGAGAATGGAGGAGAAAGGATTGCAGCTTGGACATCCCCCCCGGGGGGGTGATTCTTCACTTTCTCTCTCATTGTCTGTCTCCCTTGTCTACAGCAAAATCTATTAAAAAAATTAAAAAGACTAAAAAAAAATTTAAAAACACTTTAAAAGTTTGCCACCCAGTGATAACAGCTACTTTTGTAAATTTTTTTCTTGTATGTATTGGGAGCCTGTTCTAAAAAAAGTAGCTCAGGGACCAGCAGTTGGCATAATGGCTATGTTGCTGGATTCCCATGTAGCCGACCGTGGTTTGCTGCCCTGCGCCAGTTGTGGCTTAAACTTACGCCAGGTGCATGTGTATGTGTGCCCAAGATCCTGAGAGGAGACTGGAGGAGAAGGGATTGCGGCGTGGCCATCCCCCTTGGGGATGATTTCTCACTTTCTGTTTCTCTGTCTCTGTCTGTCTTTCTGGTGCATGCACATGCCCTATAGCAAAAACCTCTCCAAAAACAAACTAACAAACAAAAAAGGCAGCTCAAATACTGCTGATCTCTTACAAATGTAATGTTGATGTAGGGGTGATTTCCAATATTCCTTCCAGTTCAGAAAGTTTGTTATGTGAAATACTACTTTTCTTGGTAAAACTTTTCAAAAGGTCTCATTTTACTGGTAATATTATGGATTGACCGGATAAATAATATGCATTTGAATTTGATGGGAAGAGGTTCTCCTTTACATTTTTATAGCATGATTAGTGAAAACTAATATTGTAAAGTTTGACAATATTAAGTATTCAGGTGAATGACTAAATTAATAATGTGGGTGCTCATTATCTACTCGTGTGCACTTTTCTCCTTTTTCCCCCTGTTCAGGCTATGAATAGGGCCAGAGCCCTCAGATCTCAGTCAGAGGACTCCGCTTCTGCCTTTAGTGCTGAAGACCTTATGAGTATAGATTTTGCCGAACAGGAGGCTGATGACTCTGATGACAGCATCTCAGCAGCAGCCAACAGAGGAAGAGGCCGAGGCCGAGGCCGAAGAGGAGGGAGAGGGCAGAATTCAGCATCAAGAGGAGCGTCTCAAAGAGGAAGAGGTTAGCTATATACTGTGTTCTGCTTGTTCAGAATTGGCAGTTGAGTGGGAAGTATTGGATTGTATTTTGTTGTCAGAATTTAGTTAAGAGTTTTCACTTCTAAAGTACAATTGTTTAAAGATATATTATTATAATGCACAAAGACTGTTTTTCTTTTCTTATAAGTTTTTACTATAGAGCTCATGCACTCACCAGAGAGAGAAGGAAGGAAAGTGAGAAATCATTCACTATGGGCAATGGCCATGCCGCAATCCCTTCTCCATTCTCTTCTTGGGATTTTGGGCATGCACGTGCATGTGCCCATCATTATTCTCAAACTCCTGGGTCCAGGACTCAAGCCTTGGAGCTGGCCATGTAGGATCCAGTGCTTTAACCACCATCTGTGGGCCCCACAAAGACAGTCTTTAATGAAGTCTGATATGTACCTATTTGTAAATGAATCTTGTATGGCCACATGTCCATATAGAGTTTTACTTGTTTTTAAGTTTTTCCAGAGGACACAGGTGCTTATGGGTGATAAAGAGAGAGTGAGGAAGAGAGGGAATGTAATAGTAACACCACCACCACCACCACCCCCGTGGGGAATGGTCACACCACAGTCCTTTCTCCTCCATCTCTCCCTCCTTTTGGGATTTTGGGCACACTCACACATGCACTTGGTGTGTTTTTCAAACCACAAGGTTCAGCGCTCAAACCATACTATCAACCTTGTGGGATCCCACCACCTTAACTACCAGTTCCCCAGCTGGTGTAAGTTTTAAATGTTCTTAATGTGTGCTTTTTAAAAGCTTTACTGTGTTTTTCACACATTGACTTTTGGGTACATTTAATGTCATGCTCTCTCACACATACAACGTAATAGGCAAATACAAATGGATAGTGAAGGCCATTGGCAGCAGTAAGAAAACCGTGGATCAAAAATATTCTTGTGGGGCCCTGCACGGCGGCTGCGGCGGTGCCTGAGCGCCCCCCCCCACCCTGCTTGGCTGGGGCTCTGCTCCGCGGTCCGCTGCCTCGCCGGGCCTGCGCCTGCGGGCCTGAGTGTGGTCGCCGGGCCTGCGCGTGGCCCCCGGGCCTGCGCGTGGCCACCAGCCACAGGCGGCAAACTGAAGCCGAAAAAATGGATTAAGAACTTGCAACTATAAGCAACAGAAAGAAACTTTAGCTGTCTTTAACCAATTGAGAAATATATTGTATAGGAGGATTTTCTCTACCTATGGACAGTGAGAAGATGATGGTTACCAGCCTTGCATTACCTCAGGGAAAAACAAGAACTACTCTACCATTCTTAAGGAAGCCAGATACCCGAGGATAACTCACGCTGCAGATCCCCACAACACCATTCCCGCTAATCACAAGATGGCTGCTGTGCCGCATCAACTGATAATCATCTCTGCTTACCAGAACCGCTTTCCTAAAACTGTATTCCATGGAGACTCACCTACAATTGCAGAACTGCACGAGACCCACCCTTGATCCAACCTTGAATGGAATCTATGTTCCCTATTGTTAAAAACTTTAAACTCGTGGCCCCTCTCCCTTTACTTGCATGTATCACATTTTCAAAACTCCTCTGGAAGACAACTGTATATAGCAGAGATAGTGTAATGGGAGAGGGGGAAAGGGCAGAGGGTCAAACATGGGATAAAAAACATATATATATATATATGTATACATATGTATGAAAGTAGAAATGGAATATTATAAAAAAAAAATTCTTGTTACTGGTATAAGATACAAACACCTGCATGCTTATAAAGTGAACTTTATAAAATTTGTTTAAAAAGGATAACTACCCAAAACAATCTGATTTCTAAAACCATTCATTGGCCTTAATTGTCACTATTGTATTTAGTGTGATACCATTTTCATTGAGTTATCCCAACTATAAAAAATCAGCATCCAGGGACCAACAGTTATCGTAATGGCTATGTCGTTGGACTCCCATGTAGTTGACAAAGTTCGAGTCTTGGACCTGGGAGCTTAAACTCATGCCGGGCGCGTGTGCATGTGTGCCCAAGATCCTGAGGGGAGAATGGAGGAGAAGGGATTGCAGTGTGGCCATCCCCCTGGGGGGTGATTTCTCACTTTCTGTCTCTCTGTCTCTCTCTGTCTTTCTGGCGAGCACACACGCCCTATAGGAAAAAATAAATAAATAAATAAAAGAAAATGGGCATCCAGTGACTTCTTGACTGACCCATTATATAACCCTTCCCCCACCCTTGGATACTTTAAATTGTTTTTCATTAAATATTTAAGCTGGAAAATGAATGACAATTTAGTCTAAAAATATGTAGGGAGAGAAATATCCATCTTGTAATGATGATTATTTCTATTATCCTGACATTTATATTTTTCTCAAATATAAACTGAATATGGCCTAAAAAAAGAGTCCCTGAAAATTGATTTATCAGGCTCTAGGTATTTCTTCTCTTGTATGGTGTTGGCTTTTTACAAATAAACTGTTTTGATGTACTTTATTTAGCTTTCATTTTTGTGTTATGTGAAAAAGACTTAGCTGCTGATGGAATTATGTATTTACTATGTGTTATTCTCTTATTTTTTTTGGGGGGGGAGATTTTTGCTATAGGGCATGTGCGTTCGCCAGAGAGACAGAAAGTGAGAAATCACCCCCCAGTGGGGATGGCCACGTTGCAATCCCGTCTCCTCCATTCTCCTCTCAGGATCTTGGGCATGCACACCCATGCACCTGGCATGAGTTTAAGCCACTGGGTCTGGGACTCAAACCACGGTTGACTACATGGGAGTTCGATGACATAGCCATTACTCTAACTGCTGGTCCCTGACTGCTTGTTATTCTGATGGCAGGTGCTGGTCTGGAGACTTCTACTCGTGGCAGGAGCTCAAAGGCCACTGTGTCAACATCTAGAAATATGTCCATTATAGATGGTAAGTATACACCACAAGTTATTTATAAATGCCCATATAGGAACACCAATGAAATCCCTGTAGGTAACCTCATTTGTTTGTATTGTCCTTGCTGGGGAGTTAAAAGGGTTGTTAGGATTAAAGGATAAATTACACTTGTTTGTTTGCCATAGGGCAGTATACTTGCTAAAAAGAGACAGAGAAAGGAAAAATGAGAAAGCACCCCCCAGAGGAATGGACACAGCACAATAACTTCTCTTCCATTCTGCTCTCAGGATTTTGGGCATGCATACACAATGCACCTGGCATGATTTTCAAGCTGCCATGTCCAGGACTCAAGCCAGGGTTGGTCATGTGGGATGTAGCACTTTAACCTCCATGCCACCTGCTGGGTCCTTAATTATTCTTTAAAAACTCTTTGCCAACATCAGAGCAATTGAACCCCTGTTTTTATAATTTCTTGTTTTTAGGCAAATTTAATTATGATTTCCCTTTAACTAAGAGATCACAAAGGCATAGATGTAAGATAGTCAATATGCCAACAGTAATCAAAGGAGAGAGACACTACCTCTTACTATGCTGTTTAACATTTTCTCATATTGCTTCTGTTGTTCTCTGCTGTCAGTATAGAGAAGTCACATGAGCTGTATTTGAGGATAGCAACTATATATGATCGTTCAGAAGAAAACTGGCTACTCATATGTAGTTTCCTCATAATAACTATCTACCATGAACTTTTTGAAGACCTTTTATATTGTAGTCTAACAAAACATAGTACTTATTTTTGTGATACATTTATTTCATAAATACATATTTATCTTTTTAAAAAAGAATTACTTCATTTTATTTATTATTATTTTTTAAACTTGCTGTAGGGTACATATGTTCACCAGAGAGAGACCGAGAGACAGGGAGAAAGAGAGGGAAAGAGAAAGCAAACCATCAGGTCTGGGACTTGAACCATAAGTCAGCCATGTGGGAGTCCAGCACCTTAACCACCATGCTACTTACTGCCCCCATATTCATGTTTTTCTTGTCTATTAAAGATAAAAAGAAAAGTTCTTATCTTCAAGGATCTCAGAGTTTGAGGATTCAGTTAGTAAATATTGAGCAGAAGTACTCTTTAAAAGCATCATGCTCGTTGGCTTTTGTATCTGGTGGCCCTGCCTAGTCTTTTTAGTAGAGTAGGGTATGAGAAAAGCAGTAATTGAGTAGGGAAGATAAGAGCTCTCAGCCTTTCATCTCTCTTCTCAGACATCACAAGATAGAGGATAGAACCTAGAATAGGAAGTATGAGCATTTAGGATAGGTAGAAAGATTCCTGAGGTTTTCTGGCTACTAGAATTTTTGGATTTTGCAGGATTCTTTCAGTGTTTGGCCTTTGAAATCCTCTGTCATGTCTTGTCTTGCCTCCTTGTTTAGTTTGGGATGGTTTGAGAGGAGATAATTTTCATAGTAGCAAACTTGTAAGCTAGGAGAAAACAAACTTCAGGTGTTTGAGAGTTATCGTAATTTTTGTGCTTAGGGGGAAAGGGAAAGATAAAGGATTAACTAAACTTTCAAGTTTCTAAGCAAGTTTATAAAACAAACAAACAAAAGAATCCAAAGGAAAGTCTTATCATGAAATGACAGCTACGCAGTCTTCAGAATTCCCCTCTGTATATTTCTTAGGTATGAACATGGCTATAAGGTAGAGTAAAATGAGAAGGCCCCTTTTTGAATATCATCACTCCTAATGATTCTACAGCCACAGGAAACTGAATCACTGACTATGAAGAAGGAAGGGGTTGGGACACTTACCTTCAATATGCTTATAGTTTAGTTGGTTAGATGATCAGACTTTATAAACTTGCAGATATTTTTCTATAAGATATTGTTGGTACGTGGGTGTATTTATAAACACTACTTACTATATACGAATAAGCTGAGATGTCGTGAGATTGACAGGTAGGTATTAAGTTCTTTGAACATAAAATTCCATCTGCCTTCAGATTTTAAAAAATTATATGTTTTTAGTCATCATGAGTGTATACTGAAAGGACCTAGGAAACCTTCAGCTAAAGAATGTACATATTTTTCTGAATTATTTTAAGACTGACATAATGGGTGATTTATCTTTTTCATTCTAGCCTTTAAATCTACAAGACAGCAGCCCTCCCGAAATGTTGCTACTAAAAATTACTCAGAGGTAAGAAAAAAAAGTTTTATAGTTGAATTTTAATAATGTATGTTTCTTGCACTATGAATGGACAGTTCTTTGATTTACAAAGTAAGTAAAAGAAGGAGCATTGAGGTGAGAAAGAATTTCACTTTTCTAAACTAAAGGTTCTAAAATTTGGGTTTTGGTGGTTGTTTCTCTTTGTTTAAAAAAAATCGTCCATTTTATTAGAAATCCGTAAATGTTAAGTATACAGTAATGTTTTTAAGGATAACAGTACTGCATGGAAAGCGCGTTGAGTGCATTCAGAGGTTTTATTTTCACCTGGGTTCCTTTTATTACTTAAACTCTCATAATACTCTAGCATGTGCCTTGATGGCTGATGTTAGAACTCAAGCCAGACTAACAGGTGGGAGTCTGAGGATCTCTGCTCTGCTGTGGATTTAATTTCGGCCTCCTGCTCTTCCTTTGGATTCTGAAAGGAACCCAGTATGGGCTTCACTCACCTCTTAACCTCACTCTCCAAACCTGTCTATCTTAACTCCCTAGTCGACACCCTTCCCTTGTGTCACTGAGCAGTGGCGCTATTGACATTTTGAACCAGGTTCTTTGTTGTGAAGAATGTTCTGTGTACTAAAGGATGTTTAGCAGCAATGTTAGCCTCAGGTGCGGTTCTTTCAGAATTTTGTTCTTGGCTTCACCCTTATCTGTAATTCAATTAGATGAAGATGCAGGAAATGTGTATATCAAGTGTCAAGATAACACTAAATGTGGAGGAGCAGTTAGTAATTTGTATGATAGACTCAAGAATCAGAAATAGCTTTATTAGGTATTAACTCTAACAGATTGTATTAAACAGAGAGAAGTGTAATAGAAGGTTGTCCAGTACATCTCATATGGTCCACTGTCTCACTTTCAAGTGGAGGTGGCACCCTGAAGGTGTAACTTTTCATCAGAACCCAAGAAGATCACAGGGCATGGTCTACAGTGGGCTGTGCGCATCATGACCAGTCCACCTGTGTATCGCTCTAGGTGCCCAGGCTCCTGTGATGGCAGGAGAGACATGAGCTAGCCACGTAGTAGAGAGTGCTGTTTGTGAATAAGAAGGACATTGAAGGAGGCCATGCAGAATTTTAGTATTAATGGTTATTGCTTACATGGTTTCTGCCTTCCTTTTTTGTAGCTTTTTGTATATATTTTCTTAAAAAAACACTTTGAGGAGATTCAGTTATTTCTTTTTATTCAGGTGTTTCACAAAAACTATTCGTTGTGTTGTTTTCTTCCTCAGGCGATTGAGGTGGATGAATCGGATGTGGAAGATGACATTTTGCCTACCACTTCAAAGACAAAACAAAAGTAGGTGCAGCAACTTCCAGCTAAGAGAAACATTCAGTGGTCATTCTGTAGCCTGCTGGTTAAGGGAGCTGAATCCTTCATGGTCGACTGTGTAGTTTGAGTCCCAGACCCAACAGTTTAAAAACATACTGGGCACATGTGCTTGTGTGCCCCAAATCCCAACAGGATGGGAGAAATGGAGGAAAGGGGATTGCATTGTGATTATACTCCACTGGGGGTTGGGGGTGCTTTTTCCCTCTCCCTCTCTGTCTCTCTCTGATGAGTGCATGCACCCTCTGAAAAATTATAAGAAAAAGAAAGAAAAAGCATTCAAAAATTTTTTTAAAGTTTATCTTGAATTTTACAGTTTTACTTATTTCTGTCCCATAGAAATTTAACGCATTTACTTCCAACTAGTAAAGTATATAGATATAAAGAAAAAGACCAAGGGCTAATTCATGGAGTCACTGGCATCATTGCAAGTATTTATTTATTTATTTATTTATTTATTTATTTTTATAGAGATTTTTGCTATAGGGCATATGTGCTTACCAGAGAGACAGAGAGACAGAGACAGAAGGTGAGAAATCACCTCCCAGTGGAGGAATGGCCACACTGCAATCCCTTCTCCATTCTCCTCTGAGGATTTTGAGCACGCACTTACATGTGCTTAGCGTGAGTTTCAAGCTGTCGGGTCCCAAACTTGAACCACAGTCAGCCACTTGGGAATCCAGTGCCTTAACCACTATGCCATCTGCTGGCCCCATTGCTAATATTTTCTTTGAAAATTTAAATAACCTATAATTTCTTCCATTTTGTCTTTATTACCCAGTGATTTTTTCTTGATGGAAGACTGTGTTTTCCCCCATTAACAAAAAATAATTTGCATTTTGGTATACTTGATTTAAGATTTCTGTTATTGTTATTATTTTCGTATACTTAATTACAAATAATGCTGCCCTGTGCACCAAAAAGGATCACACAGACTCAGTGCCTTTCAAGTACTGATGTGTTCTTCCTGTGCTTTGTGGTTTTTCCTGTTGCCACTCAGCTTGGCTTGAGTGTTACCATTTTCTTTTATGTGACAACATTTTGGGTGAACACTGCTTAACTGAAATGCAATTAATGAAAATTCCTACTTAAAATAATAATCCTCTTTTTACATGTCTATTTTCTGTTTGATATTTATATTTGGTCTGATGGGGAACATAACAAATGTTTAATATGGTTACTGCCTTTAGGCAGCTTAAATTGTAATGGAAGGGAGAGATGAACACATTCAAATCCATTACGGGGATGATTGCATCAGTATATAATTACGTTGAAATTTTATGATAAGGACCCATAAGGATGAGTGCTTATGGGCCTTTGCCAAAAGGAACACATAATGTGGGCTATGGTCGAAGAAAAAAAGCTTCATAGAGGAAGTAAAATTTGCCTGAGGTTTTAGAGATAGGAATTACTTGGCTTACAGGGTGGAAGGTGCTGATCTCAACTGAGAACACTGGCAAGAAGAAGAGTCATAAAAATGAGACGATGTTGAGGGGAAACCCTTTACATTATTGTTTCTCAAGCTTTTTTATTATATGATCATAACTTATTTTATTACTTGAGGAGAAAAATAACTTTTTTTTTGAGAGGTTTTTTTTTTTTGCTATAGGGCCTGGGCTCTTGCCAGCCAGACAGAGAGAAACAGAGAGACAGACAGAAAGCAAGAAATCCCCCCCCAGGGGGGATGGCCACGCCGCGATCCCTTCTCCTCCGTTCTCCTCTCGGGATCTTGGGCATGCACTCACACGCGCCCGGCGTGAGTTTTAAGCCACCGGGTCCGGGATGCAAACCGCGGTCGACTACATGGGAGTCCAGCGACATAGCCATTATGCCAACTGCTGGTCCCAAAAAATAACATTTTTAATTCAATTTCCGCCTAGCAAAAAGAGTTAAATACTAAAGAATGAAATTACATCGGATAAGATTGACCTTGAGAGAATAAATACCGGTATTTTTCACCCCATTCCTCCACCTGGGACCAAGCTTTGTTCCTTGGCTGTGATGTTGACCCCACTGAGAATATATGCTCTGTGTGCGTTAAGGGTCATGTTGGTTAGGTTGGTAAGCATAGATCCTCAACCACTCAGTAGACCCTTAAACAAGCTGCTGCTCCTGAGGATAGAAAGATGAAAGAAATCTTCCCTCCCCCCAAGGAACTTATACCTAGTGGCATGCTAATTATCAGTCCACCAAAGGAAATGTTTTATTCAAATGCAATGAAATCTAAGAGAAGTGCCTAAGTCTTCCAGGAAGGATCTTCAACACAGTGAAGGTAGGTGACATGTGAGCTGGTGATCACAGATGTGTTTAGAGGCATTGAGGGAACCGAGAAAAGCAAGAAAGAGCAGTGGCACTGGGCACCCTGTTTCTAGAGCCCTTTTCCTCACCATTAAGGTTTTATGGGCTCCAATGTAGATTGAAGGGAATTGTATATTATTTTTATTTGTTGCTGCTATGAGATTGAAAAATTCAGGTAGAAATGTACTTTTGATGACTTCTCTATTTTGTTGTCTTCAGTTATTTATTTTTCTTTTCTCTCTCTTTTTTTTTAGTCTCAGGTATTCAGCTACATCATCCAGCAAACACATGTCCCAGAGCCAGACAGCTAAAGGAGTCAATTTTGAATCAGATGAGGTAATAAAGAAAATTGTTAGATTTTCATTCATTTTTAACTGTTTATAGAATTTAAATAGGGACTGGTAGTTCTTTGCTAAAAAATTACTTTTCAAAACAGTTTGATAACCTTCTTTTGAACTATAATTAATATTCGGGAGTAAGTAAGTAGCATCTGTTGAATGCCCATCAGTACAGTTACCTTAGCTATGAAAGGCCTTCAGTTTTCTTATTTTTTATTTATTTATTTATTTATTTTGAGAGAGATTTTTGCTATAAAGGGCATGTGCATGCTGGAGAGACAGAGAGCAAGCAAGAAATCATCCCATCACCCCCTAGGGGGAATGGGCACACTGCAATCTCTTCTCCATTCTCCTCTTGGGATTTTGGGCTGTATGCACATGTGCCTGTTGTGAGTTTAAGCTGCTGGGTCCAGGACTTGAACCTCAGTTGACTATTTGAGAGTCCAGCAACGTAACCATTATGCCATCTGCTAGTCCCAGACTTCAGATTTTTAAAATACGTCATTTACTCACGCCTGGCACACGTGCATACATGCCGAAGATCCAGAGAGGAGAATGGAGGAGAGGGAATTGCAGTGTGACCACCCCCCGGGGGGCTGAGTTCTTCTTGCTTGCTTTCTCTCTGGCAAGTACACATACCCTATAGCAAAAATCTCTCAAAAAAAACAAAAAAAGAAGGAAAGAAAAAAAATGCGTATACTAGTTCATATTAACTGCAAAAAACTATTAGCAAATTAGGTTAGACTTCAGTTTGAATTTATATCTTGTTGACAAATTCTTTCTCTGATCATAACAGAAAATTAGTCCATAAATGAAATGAATTTACATTTCTCAAGGAATCCATTTCTCATTAGATATGGTTATGTTAGCTAACATTTGACTGTGTTAATGCCATCAATAAACCTAACATCAAATAATTTCTTATTAATATCTTTGAAGAAAGATAAATCAAAATTTATTTACAAATTAGCTTTATTTTAAAATTTTTATGGAATATTTAAGATTATCCATTTCATTTTATCTTCATCAAATTATATAATTTGGACATATCTGAGGTTAGTTGTTTTTACGCTAAACTCATACTTAATATCTGAAATTCCTGTTTCTTTGTACCAAGCATATACTCTATAAGCCTAGCAACATGGAAACTCTTGAAATACTGCTTTTTTCAAAAAAGTATTTGGAAAATTGCTTGCTAGTTGTTTCTTGCACCAGTCTGAGAGTAGCTATTTCTAGCTGAATGGTAATGGAACATAAGAATTACAGCTGTTTCTAAGTTGGATCTTTTCCATGTGGCTTCATTGCTTTTTGACTCTGAATTTCAGGAGCAGTAGATACAACCAGATTAAAGTGTAAATGGGGGAGGGGCTGGCAGGTGGTATGGTAGCTAGGGGCACTGGACTCCCACGTGACCAACCTCCATTCAAGTCACAAACCTAGCTTGCTTTCTCACTTTCCTTCTCTCTGTCTCTTACTGTGTCCCTCTCTGGACAAATTAAAATAAATAAATAAAGGTAAATAAAATAATTCTTAAAAAAATATATAAATGGGGGGAAAAAACCTGTTCAAAAACCTAACAGAAATGAATGATTTTTTTTTTTTCCTGGCTTGCTGTACCTTATTTGCCTTTGTTAAGACTAATAATTGAGGGAAATGCATGTAGCAAATATTGTAGGTGTGTAATACACACACACGTATATATAGCAGGATACATTTTTATTGTTAATGTGTGCTAAGAATTTAATTGAACTTTTATGTTTCACATTTTTAAAGGAATAGGAAAGTAAAACCTACTTTATCTATGTGAAAGGAGAAAGTGACTCAGGTACTTTGCCGGTAAGAATTTTGGTCTTATATCAGGGAAGCATGGAACAATCACTTATACAGTGTTTGTATGTCATTGCAGGAGGACGACGATGATCCTTTTATGAACATTAGTTCTTTAAGAAGAAACAGAAGATAATACATTTAATGGCACTAAGAAATTTTAAAGATACATTTAAAAATGAAAATATTGCAAGCTAAGAGTTTACAGTTAAAGGTTTTTTTAAGAATTGCTGTTAACTGAAGTATTCGAAAAAGACCTAATAGAAACTAATGTATAAGAATTTATATTTTTGAATATCACTTCTAGAACACGACTCTATTACTTAAGAAATTTCCCCCCAAGGACATATATAATAGCATTTGGTTCTTCCTATTTTTTAATCTCGTTGTCACCATTACTTGAGATCCTCTATAAAATTTAGAATATTATTTTCCCTATATATGTAACTATGTGTCTTATTGAGTAAGAACTTTAAATACCATTCTTAATTAAGGATTAAAGTAAATCTACCATTATATATATTTGTATAGAGACTTTGTCAATATCTTTTTGTTTTTTGGGGGGAGGTTTTTGCTCTAGGGCATGTGCGCTTACCAGAAAGACAGAGACAGACAGAAAGCAAGCCCCCCCCCCCAGGGGGATGGCCACACCACAATACCTTCTCCTCCATTTTCCTCTTAAGATCTTCGGCATGCACGTACATGTGCCCAGCGTGAGTTTAAGCCACCGGGTCTGGGACTCGAACCTCAGTCGACTACATGGGAGTCCAGCGACATAGCCATTAT